TAATGTAATGTAATGTAATGTAATGTAATGTAATGTAATGTAATGTATATATGGATGCATGTATGTGATCACTTACGACATGTCTACAGAGTCTGCATGACCTATCATGACAGTATCCCCAGGTGTTCAACATTGTTCAACCTCTCAACGCTTTTCTCAAACTACTCTGGGCTTCTGTATCCCTTCTTTCCTGACAGTTTGCGTTGTTTTTCTGCCTCGCTATGGATGGCCCGGTGCTGAGGTTCCAGTCGCTCCACAGCAGCATGGGTTAGGGCAGGCAACTCTGGACACCAGGAGAGGTTCCTACGATTTCGACACTGAGCGATGACATGCCCGCATGGCCGAAAGAACTGGAACATGCGTGCGTGCACAAGTGCACACATGTCCATTCTTGACAATCGACACCCTTCGAAGGATTCAGCCCCTTCGCCGAGCTGCAAGGAGCAGGTGATCCGTGGCATGGCTTCACTGCCATCGGATGCCAGCCACTGGTAGCTGCCATTGACGGAGTTGCCACCTCAGCTGTCTTTGACCATGTGGACTCACCTTTCCGAGCATGGTGGGAATGGACTTCAAGCTCCCCACCTAACGAATCAATGAACAGTCTCTGGATGGTGTGGAAAGCAGTTTTGGGAGGTTTCTTTGTGCACCAGGAGAAGCGTCTTGATTGACCCAAGCCTGGAGGTCATGTTGACAAAGGTTTTTGTCACGGAGGAGCTACCAAAAACATGACGACAGCATCTTCGGCCGCCCCTGGGAACCAGGTGCCGAACCCCGCTTATTGGACGAACATAAACAGATCCAAGGGTGATTAAAAAGAGGAAAATGAGTTTAATCAAACACCTTTCCGAAAATGGAAATGAGTTTCAGTTCATCGCCACTTCATGATTCAGCGCCAAACGCACTCCACTAAAAACATTTCATTGTTCGTCGAGCGTTTAGAACAACTTCATACGATCATGATTAGTCTTAAAACGAGATGCTGCTGCTGTTCGCGATCTTGTGTAATTTTCAGACCATGAATTCAGAAACACAGCGGCGCTGCCGTTTTGATCACCGTTCAAAGATTGAAAGAAAAGGTCTAAAGGGAACAGTGGCACGCATTCGTTGAAATGTTCGACATTTTTTCCAAAGCGAGTTGTTGTGAGGCTTCGCCCAGAACAACGACAGCCAACCCAACGCGCTTTCCTAGATACTAGTGGCTTGGAATGATCCAGGATGGTTTTCGACTTAGACACACCCAACGTCCTCCAATGTGCCTTGTCCTATATTTATTGAATTGTTTGGAAATGTCTGTCATTGACAACCGAGTTGTTTTTCGTTTCAGCTGTTTGTCGATCCCATGTTTCAATCACTGCACTCTCAACTGCATCGGAAGGGGTAACCAATAGCCCGTGACTTCCCCTGACAAACTTAATGCGCGTGGTCTTTTGGAGCTGTTCTGGCATATTCAACCATTCTTGCGCAGGACGCCAAAAAGGCTGTGTCAAACACGTCAAAGACCCTCAAGATCTCCCAAGCCCCAATCCCTGCTCCCAAGTTGCACATCAATGTCTCACGGCCGAAGTCGAATACCTTCAGTCTCAAGAAAAAGATCTGACATATTTAGCCCTTGCATACCGATGGGAAGGTAAATTATGTGAACGTAAAAACGCACAATTCCCTTCTTGTCTCAACATTTTCAGTGACCAACACTTTGTTGCACGGCTCCTTTTCCCAAACTCTGGCAGCCCATGCCCGGCAATGGCTTGCAAATTTCTGCCACCTGGGCCTGGCCATGCCCGAAAAAGGGCCCTTGTCAAGACTTTCTTCGCGCACCCCGTGTTACTTCTGATGAGCTCCACTGTTGGTAAGCAGGGAAGCCGATGGCGACTGAGGCGATTTGCGGCCGAGTAGCTGCCTTTGTTTTCGTTTCCACCGTGGCCTCAACTCCACCAGGACTTGCGTGCGGCGTGCAGACTTGCGCGTGGCTCCAACACTTTCTGGGCGCGCGGCCACGTTTGCGCGCGCGCAACTGCCAACCTCTGGATGGGGCTTTGGACCTCCTTCGATCCGCGGATGACATGTAGGGCTCACGGCGCCCTTTCTCCCCTTGACTTCATTCTTGGGTTCGCTGCCTCCTCCTCAACTGTTCATCTGCAGGGGCTGGCGCAGCTGGCCTGGCTCTCTCTGGGGCTTCCTTGTGGGCCCCATTCTTGTTGGCAGGCGATGGTGAGTGGCTTCCGCTGCAGCCAATGCGGCCAACGACCTCCAGGCCACTGTGGATCAAATGTGCTCACCGTCACGATTGAAGTGCACTCAGGCCTTGCGTGTGGGAGGACCACCGCAAACCTGTAAAACACAGGCAGCTGCAAACTTGCACTTCGCAATGATCTTTGTATCACTCTGGTCTCGAAGCCGGCTCTGTGACTGCTAGACCAGATAGCGGCCAGGCTTTTGGTCGAAAGAGTTCGACCCAGGTCGGCGTTCGTGGTCTTTGATGCCAGGAGAGTGCGCGTTCGTGACGGTTCGTGTTGCGTGTTCGTTGGCTGGACCGGTGGCACACATCAGACAGACAGACAGACAGACAGACAGACAGACAGACAGACAGACAGCCAGGCAGGCAGGCAGGCAGGCAGGCAGGCAGGCAGGCAGGAGGGAGGCAGGCAGACAGACAGACAGACACAGACAGACAGACAGACACAGAGAGACACAGAGAGACACAGAGAGACACAGAGAGACAGAGGGAGACACAGAGAGACAGAGAGAGACAGAGAGAGACAGAGAGAGACAGAGAGAGAGATAGAGAGAGATAGAGAGAGAGACAGAGAGAGAGAGAGAGACAGAGAGAGAGAGAGATAGAGAGAGAGAGATAGAGAGAGAGAGAGAGATAGAGATAGAGATAGAGATAGAGATAGACATAGAGATAGACATAGAGATAGAGATAGAGATAGAGATAGATAGATAGATAAATAGATAGATGGATATTTTCAAAAAAATCATCCGCAGGCAGTCGAGTTTGCTCAGCCAATTCTACGAACAAAGGTAACAATCACTGAATGGGTACATTCCAGCAGACCAACCTGGAAGCGTCTTGGGTGGCGTGGCTGACGCTGATCAACTCCATTTCACAACTGCTGAGGGCGGAGGGCGGACGGCGGTCGATTGTTGCGGTGACACTTTAGCTTCTTGTTACTACTAGTAAGGCACTTGTTACTAGTTGCGATGCACTTGTTACTACTAGTAACAAGAAGCTAGTAGCTTCTGCCTGCAGCAAGCTGCCTTCCCAAAAGATCGCGCGCCCGGAGCAGCGCGACGCCCCCGTGAAGCGTGCGCAAAGACTTTCAAGTCGGGTTTTTCATCTGACCCTTTGAACTTCTGCCAAAGTCGCAAGCAACTCACAAAATATCTAGAGCCTTTTCCAACCTTTCTCACGCTTGACTGCCCCTGCGCAGGCAGCGCTGATCAAGAGTTGGCCGGAGACCTTTCGCAAACTCCTGGTTGTAAGTGGTCGGAGTTTGGACGAGAGACATTTAAACTTCCCCCCAAAAAGACCAGCTCAGCTTTTGAGCGACAATTACTTACCAAGCTTCCTTCAAAGCAATGTGGAACATCTCCAACAAACTCTCTTCAGCGCTTGCGGTGATCAACAGGGATGGAATGTCCCACAATGTCAGGCGCTTGAACATCCCAGTGTCGCTCGTTATCCAGAAGTCTTGGTTCACGCACCTGTCACGGTTCTGACTTGGAGCTCCACGCATGACGTGATAGCAGGTTTGTTGACCGATTGTCGATCAAGTCAAGACTGAGAAGTTTCGTGCCGTGTTGTGGTTTGCCGAGATGGCTTTGCCAGAAAGATGGCAAGTTGACATGAAAGGGGTTGGAAACAACAAAATTGTGTTGGTCACCGTCGCTCCAGAAAGTTGTTGGGATGACGTTGATGCCTTCAGGCGAGAGGCCTTTATCTGCACCATAGCGCTGCAGTACTTCTATTAGGAACTGGCCCATTACCATCCAAAAAAGTACCCTGGCCAGGTCTATGAAGGGGGTGAGAACCAAGGGGACGAAGTGCACTCACTGAGCCAAAACTCCACATGGCACCCCCAGCCAAAAATCGCACAGGAAAACCACCAAGACTAATTACTAATACAATTGCAAGCTCAAGCAACAAGTTCCGTCTCAGCAGTTCAATGCTCTCTGATTCTACACATGCAGCTGCAACATCTTACATTGGGAACAAAAAAGGAAAGGTTCACGGATTTTCTGCAAGATACGTAGTGCGGATGGCATTCCATAGACACCTCATCCCCCAGTGCTACTGGCATCAGCGGAGTGGTGAATTGGCTGTGTGGAGGTAACCTGAGCGGGTCGGCCGGAATTTGATTTATAAAAAGTCTAGGAAAAAGTGTCAACTAGACCCAAAAGAACGCTTGAACCTTTCTTTCACAAACAGGATCATCAAGGTCAAGACTATTCTCCAGAAAAAAGATAAAACACTTCCAGCGCACTTGTCGAAGACAACTCCCTTGGTCATTCAAAAAAACACATTTTCGACACGACATGTTCATCTTTTTTCCCCAAACAGTTTACTGTTAGGGGTTTTCAATTCTTTCTTAAGATGTGTCCGCCCTTTGCGTCACTGCTGGTGTCCGCCCTTTTCCTCTGGCCATGTAGCATTTCTATTCATGTGTCTCCCAGGTCTGTCACTGCTGGTGTCCAGCCTTTTCCGCTGGCCATGTAGCATTTCTGTTCATTTGTCTCCGAGGTGTGTCACTGCTGGTGTCCGCCCTTTTCCGCTGGCCATGTAGCATTTCTATTCATTTTTGTCTCCCAGGTCTGTCACTGCTGGTATCCGCCCTTTTCCGCTGGCCATGTAGCATTTCTATGCATTTGTCTCCCAATTCTGCCGCTGCTGGTGTCCGCCCTTTTCCGCTGGCCATGTAGCATTTCTATTCATTTGTCTCGACCTCTGGGATAGACTTCTGGAGCTTTGGACCTTTGTAGACTGCCACATTTCCGTTTACAAAACTGCTGCGCATGTGTCCCCTGATGAACTTCAGGATCCAGACCTACGATGGCAGGCTTTTTGGAATAGCGTGGCTGATATTTCTGCAAAGGCTGCTCGCAAGACGGGCGGAACAGCAGAGCTTCAAGAGATGGTGCAGCGGCATTATGATGCCTTCTGTTGGAGACGGTACTGGGCCAAGAGGTTCCAGAGCTTTCTCTTAGCTATGGCGAGGCTTTCGGTGGCGCAGACACTCCCAGTGAGAGAGCAATTGGATGAGAATGTAGAGGTTTTTCCTTGGACACGTGATAATGCCAAGGATTTGTTTGATATGCTTCCGGTCAATTTTGATTTGCTCCTTTCTTCTTCGGAGAGAATTCGGGCTTTTGATCTGTGTATAGCACGAAGGTTTGTTTCGTGGATCGCCCATTTAGAGCAGGAAGCTTCGACGCTCGCCCCTGTTTCCTTCCTGGAGATGTTTGTTGCCTTTTCTAGTCACACTGGTTTGTCGTTGCCGGTTCAAGTGGGAAGTTTGAATAAGCAGTGGCGAGCTGTGCATTCTTTACACTCTGGTTTCTCAGGTAAGAGCTTTTGAGTTTCTGTTTGCTGCTGTTTCTTCGGTTTTGGGTTGGGATTTTGATGTGATTGAGGTCAACCACCCTGAGGTGAATATTTTTAGGTCACTGACAGGGCGCGTTGTGCCGTGGCCTTTTGGAGTCGCTCGTGAGACTCTAGGTTGCTTGGCGGCATATTTTCGTTTTCGACCCCTTCGTAGTGCACAAGACCTGGCCAGACATTGGCCATGAGGAGGTGGTCTTGAGTGTAGGTGGAGAGCGGCTCTGCGAACGCCGAGCCCTTTCTTTCGGCGACAGACTGACCGATACGTGCGAGTATTCATTTGTCTCCCAGGTCTGTCACTGCTGGTGTCCGCCCTTTTCCGCTGGCCATGTAGCATTTCTATTCATTTGTCTCCCAGGTCTGTCACTGCTGGTGTCCAGCCTTTTCCGCTGGCCATGTAGCATTTCTGTTCATTTGTCTCCGAGGTGTGTCACTGCTGGTGTCTGCCCTTTTCCGCTGGCGATGCAACATTTCTATTCATTCCCCAAACAGTTTTGCCGTTACGTCGGGTTTGTCACTTCTTTCTTAAGATGTGTCCGCCCTTTCTGTCACGGCTGGTGTCCGCCCATTTCCGCTGGCCATGCAGCATTTCAATTCTTTTGTTTTCCATGTGGCTTGTTTACTTTTGTTTTCCAGGTTCGGTGCCTGCACTGCTGGCATCCGCCCTTTTCCCCTTTCCAGCATTTCTCTTCATTTGTCTCCCAGGTGATTTCTGTACTTCCCCAAACAGGTTACTGTCAGGGGCTCTAAGTGCTTTCAAAGAGTGTCCGCCTTGCTGGCGGACAGCGTGTCCGCCTTCCGTCCGGCTTGTCTCTCTTAGTCTCCCTTCTTGTTGGTCACTGTGTCCCCCTTCTTGCTGGGCACCGTGTCCGTCTTGTCTCCCTTCTGTTTCCTTTTGTCTCCCTTCTTGTCTCCCTTGTTGTCCCCCTTCTTGTTGGTCGTTGTGTCCGCCTTGTCTTCCCTCTTTCCTTTACATGTGCCTCCTCTCTCCCCCTCTCGCTTGCAACCCGTCACATTTGTCTCCCAGCTGCTCTGCTCTGCAATCCTTTACATTTGTCTCCCAGCTCTGGGCTGCGTGTCGCTTGCAATCGTTTACAATTGTCTCCCGTGTCCGCCTCTGCCTTGCAATCCTTAATTTTACATTTGTCTCCCAGCTCTGACTGCTGTGTCCACCTCTGCCTTGCAATCCTTTATTTGTCACCCAGCTCTGGGCTGCATGTCGCTTCCAATCCCTTACATTTGTCTCCCCGTGTGTACATTTGTCTCCCAGCTCTGGACTCTGCCTTGCAGTCCTTTGTCTCCCAGCTCTGGAGGTCGCAAGCTTTAGTTGCAGAGTGTTCCGATTTTGAAAAACACAAGCTGTTTGGGGTCTACGGTGGTGTAATTCTGTTCGCACTTCAGATTTCTTGTCACTTCCCAAGTTCATTCTTTTTGTCGCTTCAGCACTTCAGTTTAATTCATGTCTAATTTCGTCACGTTCAAGCTGAAGAACGGTGGCAGTGGACACCAGCCCGGTGTTCGATTGCACTCTAGCAGCGGCTCCGGACCTTGCCCCAAGTGGCACACAGCGTGATGAAGACTGAACACGAGACAACTAGCTAAAATGAGAAGTGTTCTTCAGGAATAAAGGAAAGGAACAATTAAACCTTGAGTGAAACAATCCAGTTTTTCTCATGTTGCTTTGGACGTGCTGTGACCAGCATGACGTTCTGGAAACGAGATTGCTTCGTTTCCAATGCTCTGAAGGACATTTCCTCATGAACTGCTGAGGCGACCACTTTGCTGACCTGGCCTCAGCGTGCTTCGGGAAGCAAACAATTTATAGCACGCTTTTAGAATGTAACAGTCTGTGGCAAAAATCCGAAGTGATCAGCGTATCTTTGTGTTTTGATCGTCCACTTCAAAGCGTGGCGTCTATCATGAAGCTTCAGGTTCCTCAAAACCTGAATTCCGCAAGAACTAGGAACAAGCCGCAAGACACGCCTGTAGCCCAAACGATATTTGGATCGTTGAACAACAAACAAATACTGGGGAATTTGTATTTTTTCTTTTTGTCTCCAACCTAAAGCCGTGTCACATTGCTCTTGATTTTGTGCCATGTTGCTGCAGGTCCAGGAGGTCGAGCATGTCAAGCTGCTTCTCCTCCAACATCCTGTTCGGAGCCGGCACAGAAGCAGCTGACGATGCTGCCAGACTGAAGCTTCTAAAGCTTTGAGAAATGGCTTTGTTACAACCGGCTGAGACCACAGCACTAGCTGAGTCCCAAAGCTCTTGAGTTGCATTAAACGTGTTGTTTCAAAATGCAGATCATTAAACATCTTGTGGACGTTAATACCTTTTGGACGTCTCTGTCAAATTCAGATCCTCTTGAGATTTCTGAGGTCATCCACAGTGAACATGGCCAGCCAGGCATCAGAAACGCCATCATAGCTGGGTAGACGGTAAAGCACCTGACAGGACTCTTTTCGAGAAGATGAAGACAAACTGAGATACAGAGGGAGCCAGTGGATTCCCAAGAGAATTAGAAACAAAGAAAAAAGAAAAGGAAGAACGGTCCAATATATTCCAGCTTTGACACCGCTTTTGATTTCTCAAAGAACTGGATCTAATGGTATTCTGAAATGTTCGTGCTCGTCCGGCTTGTAAACAAAGCATGTCGAACTTACTTGGACAATGTTTTCCTGCTCATTTTTGGGTATTGGTGGTATTGGTAGGCTTGCAAAGTTCTGTGGCTCTCTGTCGATATGCCTGCGCTTTGGATGTGTAGCACTGCATCACTTCACATGTCGGCACGGGACTCTGGCCTCTTCTACGGCACTGTTGTCAGGTAGGCCTGCACCAAAACTAAGCAGGAAAATACTTGTTTTGTTTATTAAACACCTCTTGAGCATTTCAGATCTGCTTTCACCTCTCTTTTGGTCAAACGATCTGGACGAGTTGTCGCCTTTGAGTCCCTGTGAGAGTTCAGTTCTCCAGCGGTATTCGAACTGCATCAAAGCACGCCAATTGAAATCCGACCTAAATCGACGCTCAGCGACGTCAAACAAAAAGCTTCTTGTTCCTAGTAGTAAGGCCAGGAGCTCCTAGTAGCGTCCTTGTTCCTAGTAGTGGTGCCCTTTGCTCCTAGTAGTGTCCTTGCTCCTAGTAGCGTTGCCCCTTTGGTTTTTTCTTCGCTTAACGAACAGCACTGGATGCAGCACCGGATGTTTACCGCTTCGCTCAGCTGATTGCCGGCTCTCCCAAATAGCCGATCCAAACGAAGCGCGTCCAAGATGCTCTCGTGTGTCCATGGCCTTGGAGGCAACTGGTCAGTTTTGCATCAATGAGACATTGACTAATTGGGATTGGTGTGGTGCTTGTGCGCGACGCATGGAAAAGCAAAGAACTTGGCATGAAAGGAAACACTGCAAACGCAGCAATTGTACACACCCTACACGTTGTGCTGGTTGCAAACATGGAACACAGTCGTGAAACAATCTTACTGAGGCAAAGGTCCACATGATCCACATGTGAAACAATGTCACCAAGTGGCCACATGTGAAACATGTTTTCACCGTGTGAAACAATGTGAAACATGGGTGTTTGGCGATGAAAGGCGTTTGGGGAGCGCAAATCTGGCGATTCTTTGGGATCTGTCGAGTCGAGGTCAACCTGACTGGGGCAGTCTGAAGAGGATTGATTGTTCTCCGGCCCCAGGTTCCGGAAAGTACACAACTGCACGTCACCACATACTATGACAAACATCACCACATACATGGATGGGATGAGCACACGTGACAGCTTGATGTCCTTCTCAATGCGCCACTACTGTGTTTGTACTGCCGATGATTGCTGGTATTAACAGTGGTTTTTATCTCGTGCAGAATCTTTCCTCTCCGTGTTCAATCCTGAGGCTCTCAACCCAGTAGGATTCCAGCTCGTCCAACACGTCTTGGACCAAATTTGTGGCACGGATTAAGTCCTCAGAAGACTTGGATGATCTTGGATGTTTTTGGCTTTATGACTCTCCACGGGTGACCTTTCTGCGAGGAGAATATCAAAAAACTGCATTCTTCAACTGCGAACACAATTTTACACTGACCCAAGTTGCACGGCTCACACGGGAGATGCCTTGGAAGCGTCAGAAACGGCCAAAAGCCGACCCCGGTGTAGAATCCAAAAGTCAAGAACAGTTTGTTCAATCAAACTCTTGCACATCGCTATTAGGTTGGAGGCCTTTGTGAACCTCATGGTAGAACCCATTGGAGACAACGTTTCAAAAACACAATTTCCAACGCCACTGTGAGCCTCACGCGCTCTCGCCTTGCTCTCCAGGCGACCCACTTGGAAATGCCCAATTGTCCCGCAAAGCGCTGTGCGCTGCTCCAGATTGAGCCGTGAGTCCTGCTCTACAGGGAAATACCGATGTTTTTTTAATTGAATCTTCAAGCAGTGAAAAGACAAGAAGTCTTTAGACAAATTAAATAAACAATTTCCAACCGCAACAGGACATCATCAAGGAGGTTGATTGAGACGTAGAGCAGGACCATCCTGGGTGTCCTGGTTGGACTACCCAAAGTAATTACTACTGTGGGGACCATTGAACGCAAAACCTGCAGACCAGCCTCAAAATCAACCGAACCGAGGCCAAACCCCCAATAAAGCATTGTGAAGCTGGAACACAAAACCCTGTCTGTTCTTATTGTTTCAGTCATTTTTAGCCAGACATCTGAAGCTCCCTTCTCCTGAAAGCCGTCCTGACAATGCAGCTCCACCACACTGCCCATCTCAGTCACAAAATGATACAAGGATTGCAACATGATGCAAAACGCATATTTCAAACCTTCTATCTACATGGACAAAAAGACTGACACACACAGGACTAAGTTTATTATGATTTTCCACCACAGCATGCCCAGCACGGACAGGCAAGCATCTTAAAACACTGGAAAGCCAAGTCATTTCAAGACAAGACCTACATAGCTTGACACAATTTGTCCCAATCTCCTTCAAAAGCTCTTCTTTCACACCATTCACTTAAACCAAAAACCAAAGTGGGGAAAGCTCTTGAGGTCCAAAGACCCACTTGTCTGGCTCTATTGAGTCTAAAAACAATTGCAACTACGTCAACATTTGGATCACTTCAACTGATTGTGCAATACAAAACCTCCTGTACCTGCTCAACCTTCTACCTCACTTCTCACCAGTGTCTGGGGATTTGGCAGTTCCCTGCTCGGTGACATTGAAAACGTAGCCATTGTTCACTGTTGGCAATGTGCAAAAATCTTGTTGCGGCACGCAAACCACCTTGGAACACGACAACAAGGCTAAGGCTAAGGCACCACGTTCACGACAACAAGGCGAAAAGAAACTTTCTACTAGTAACAAAGGGCATCGCTAGTAGTAACAAAGGGCATCGCTACTAGGAGCAAACATGCTACTAGTAGCTCCTGGCCTTACTACTAGGAACAAGAAGCTACTACGATCAAAGGTTTCACTTCACTTTGCTTCACTGGCTTTATGTTCCTCAAGTTGAAGCGATCTGCGACCCGGACCGGCTTTGCCACGGTACCGTCACTGACCTTCCACTGTCCTGAAACACTAGCAAAGCTGAGGCTATTGCAACTACAAAGACCTGGTTCATCCTGTTCCTCATGTTTGAATAGTTGAAGGTCATCGCTATTAGGTTGGAGGCCATCGCTAGTGGGTTGGGGGCCATCGCTATTGGGCTGTCTGGATGTTGTGAGGGGAACGAACAACATACTCCCAATCAAGCTCTAAGACTCTTGCCACATTGGCATCACAAGTATGTCACTCCTCCATCATTGTCATAACTGACGTTGCAAACGATCTGCAAGTCCCCCTCCAAGTACGTGAAACCTGCAACGTGAACACTGGTTCAGGCCCAGTGTTCAGGGACACACGAAACAAACAAGCTCACCCTTTTTGCTGACCATCTGATCCCCTTGGTTCCTAGCGCACCCTAGGCCCTAAGACACAGCACACGCAGTATTCATACATCAAACTAAATCTACATACTCAGTATTCGTCCCCAACTTGTGCATGTGAAATCCGCCAGGTACGCCACGAGTCCACGAGGAGAATGAGAACTCCAAGAGTTCGGCAAACACATGATGGTCATCACTGGTAGTCACATGACATGGTCCTCATGTCATGACACGTCAGCTGTTTTTGTCGTCGATCCTTATTCAGACCGGAGCACGGGCGGGATCCAGACTTCCGAAATCCACCGGCAACGGCGGAAGCTGGCCGAACTCGACTGTCTATTCTCTCTTCCGGCGCTTCGCAGGCACCGACAGATTCACCTCTTTCCCCACATCCGGATCAGCACCAGCTGACAGTAAAAGCCGAGCCACTTCAAGGTAACCTCGTTGGAACGCCATGGCTAAAGGAGAGATCCCTGAAAGGCCAACCTCCAAGTTTGCTCTAGCACCGATGAGTAATCTCACCACTTCCAAATGTCCACCACATGTGGCTCCAAGCAACGGAGTGAAGCCAGTCGCAATCGAAGCACGCTCCTTGTCAGCCCCTGATTCAACAAGCAATCTGACGATTTCCAAATGACCCTCTCCAGAAGCAACCATCAACGGAGTATAGCCAGTCCCTGTTGAGGCCTTTTCCTTGTCGGCCTTCGCTTCAAGCAGCAATCGCACTACTTCAAATTGCCCTTGGAAGGATGCGACCAACAAGGGAGTGATGCTGCTGTCGTCTCTTGCTGCCTTTTCTTTGTCAGCTCCTGCTTCAATGAGATATCGCACTATTTCCAATTGACCGTGCTGCGAAGCCATCAACAATGGAGTGTAGCCCCTACCAGTGTCCTTTTCTTTGTCAGCTCCTGCTTCAATCAGCAATCTCACGACATTCAGATGGCCCTCTGAGGAAGCAACAAGCAAAGGGGTATAGCCGGTTCTTGCATGCTCTTTTTCTGTGTCAGCCCTAGCTTCAACCAGCAATCTAACCACTTCCACATGACCTTCTGCGCAAGCAATGAGCAAAGGAGTGTAACCCCTTCCCGTGGCGTTCTCTTTGTCAGCTCCTGCTTCAATAAGGAGCCGAACCACTTCTACATAACCTTCTGCAGACGCAATGAGCAAAGGAGTGTAGCCCCTGCCTGCCGCCTTCTCGGTGTCTGCCCCAGCTTCGATCAATATTTGTACAACCTCCAAGTGACCCTCTTGGCAAGCCATGATCAAGGGAGTATATCCAGCTCCCATGGATGCCTTTTCTTTGTCTGCCCCGGAATCTATAAGCAAGCGGACAATTTCTGAGTGTCCCTCGAGAGAAGCAATTTGTAAAGGCGTATTTCCATCATCATCTGTGTGGTTGGTTTCTGCACTGGCTTCAATGAGCGAACGAAGAATCTCCAGTTGTCCATATATACAGGCAAAGTGAACCGGCGCCAGACCTCCACGAAACGGAGGAACAGTTGGCATATCAACGTCACTTCCAGCTTCAATTAGCAAGTTGCAACCTGTCAGCAGGCTGAAAGTCTTCAATTCACACAGAAAAAATACATACAGGTTCTGGACATCATGAACTTGATGCTAACACATGTTAAATCCCTGACATACCGAACATCAGCAAGGGATCCCGAAGAAAATGAGCTACACGCGTCAAGCAACATTCAAGAGCTCCATTGCCAGACACAATGTGAATCGGAGCTTCTCCACTTTCACCGACGGCATCGGGGTGATAGGCTTTTAACCTCAAGGCGACCGTTAGACCTGCACTGCCTCCAACTCTGCCGTGAAATGGGCGTCCACAACAACTAGACGACGGTTGGCCCGAGAGCGAGACATGTAATTGTCCAGCATTGTTGAAAAGATATACAGAAAGCAGAAAGAGAGAAAGAGAGGGTGGACGTGAAGGAGTGACAGTGTGGATGTGCAGGCGCGATATAAACTGTGTAGATGTATGGAGGTGTACAGGTAGATCTGCGGATGTGAGCGTGTGAAGATGTAAATGTACAGAGGTGAGGGGGTGTAGATGGAGATGCGTCGATGCAACGGCAGCGCAACGGCAACGTCAACCTTAGTTGTGCAAGTGCAACGCTGAAGAGGTTCGAATAGAACTGAAGAACGTACATTTCACACTGAAGTTGCCACGAACAGGGCGACCTGAGAGCAAACGACGTCACGATCATGCCAAGTGACTCGTGTGTTCCAAGCGAACATCGTTTGTCATGAAGGTGAAGTACACGCACACTAACGTCATGATGACTCTTTTTGTGGCAGCCGCGGATCGCGTCGCTTGAGCGATGATGTCCTAGGCTCGTCCCGAGCAGTCTCGACGGACGACTCGCGACATAAACGCACTCTCGCCTGCATTTCGCGCCCTCGACACGCACGATCTCCGCAGAGGGTTGCCCGCGACCGGGCCCAAACGCACTCTCGCCTGCATTTCGCGCCCTCGACGCGCACGATCTCCGCAGAGGGTTGCGCCGGGCAGAGACAAAACGCACTCTCGCCTGCATTTCGCGCTCTCGACGCGCGTGATCTCCGCAGAGGGTTGCGCCGGACCGGACCAAAACGCACTCTCGCCTGCGTTTCGCGCCCTCGGCGCGCACGATCTCCGCAGAGGGTTGCGCCGGACCGGGCCAAAACGCACTCTTGCTTTCGCGCCCTCGACACGCGCGATCTCCGCAGAGGGTTGCGTTTCGTGGTGCTCCGGCGGCACTGCCCCCAGCCTTAAGAGAGAAAGTAAAGAAGAGCGAGAGGTGAAGATGTGAGATGTAGATGTGAGGATGTGAAGATGAGCAGAGATGTCGATGTGCCGATATGAACATGAGCAGAGATGTAGATGTGTGAAGATGAAGATGAGCAGAGATGTCGATGTGAGGATGTGAAGATCAGCAGAGATGTAGATGCGCAGATGAGAAGATGAGCGAGGATGTAGGTGTGCAGATGTGAAGATGAGCAGAGATATGTGAGAATGTGGATGTGCAGAGGTGAAGATTTGAAGATGTAGATGATACGTAGTTCTGCAGATGTTTTTTTACGAAGAACCCTTCGCAGATGCTCTCGGGAACTATTGCGGTCAAATTTTTGCTTTTTGAAAAACAACTGGACTTGAAAATGAGCGATAAGACTGCCTGGTGCCCAAACATACCCAATTTCCAACTGCAGGTTTTGGTCTGGCGCACAAGATTTGGGTTGCCAGTGCCTGCCAGTGGTAGCATATGGTGGCATTCTGCAATGTCGCTGCCCAGTCATCTTAATGACACTCCCCTAACCACACAGTACAATAATGATTGTTGTTTTTGTATTTTTCCAACGCTGTCAATGAATCTTGCTTGCGTTTCCAGCTGTTGAATCCCAGCAGCAACAAGCGCTCCAGGTCTACTGCATTTTTGTTTCTTGCTGCCTCCCGCAAGGCTTCTCCATCTTCTCCTGGATGAAGAGAGAGCAGAACCAATTGCAGGGTCATGGGAAAGCTCACCTCACTGCTATCATCCAAGATCGCTCCTTCAGTGTTGCAAGCAGGTGAGCCTACTACTACTACTACTACTACTACTACTACTACTACTACCAATACTACCACCCCACTACTACCAATACTACCACCCCACCACCACCACTACTACCACTACGACTGCGGTTACACTGTTACACTTGAAAGAAAGCCTTTTTCTGATTCGGACATGAATCAGGACAGTTTCCTGTGCCTGAGCTGGAAAGTGGTTGGTGGTCGCCTGCTACTGCTACTACTGCTACTCTACTTCTACTAAATGCTATCTGTAGAGCTTCTACCACATCCTAGAAACAAAAATTGGGTCCGCGGTGGTTGTTTTTTGCACCCCCCTCTACCCTTTCCTAGAAACAAAGGCTGCAGCCCCGTTGTTGCTTTTTGGCCCCCCGCTCAGAACAACACTTTAAGCAAAAAAACGGACTTCAGTGAAACGCGCTCAACAAGTCCAGCTACTTGCAAAAACCAGCATTCCCTCAAACTTTCAATCGTATCCCTGCGCGTGACAACTATGTTGGACAGCTGTTTTTGTTTCTACCAACAACAGCAACAACAACAGGGGCTGAGAGTGAAACCGACAACGTGAGGCAATACCCTGAACCCCCTCTCGCTTCTAATGGCAAAGGGATGTAACCAAGCAAGCCAAAGAAAGCAAGCAAGCTAGCAGTTAGCAACCAACCACCCACCAACCCACCAGCTCACCAACACCGTCAAGTATTTGGCTCACCGGTTCGCCTTTAGAAGACAAAAAAGGTCTATCTATATACTTTCTTTCTTTACATTGCGGGAGGCGCTGCGCCCTCGCTGAAGGGGATGCGCAGCAAGCATGCGAGCAGCAATCAACCCAAGCAATGCAATCCAACTAAACAAAACCGCTAAATTCCTGCCGGGCGGGGGCGCCGCGCCCTCCCCCGCACCCCCTCCCACTGATACTTCAAGGAGATCAAGCGCGCAAGCAACCACAACTCACCAACCGACCATGCACTTAACGAAGCAACCAACCAAAAATACGAACCACCTACCGACCAAGGAGGCACCGCGCCCTCCACCCCAAAAACAAACAGGAAGGAAGGAACACGCACACGAAATAACAAACCAACAAGCGCACTGCTACTTACTTTGTTTGCGATGTGGGGAAGACGCTGCGCCCTCCCCTGCACCCCCCTCCCGCCTCAAGGCAACCAAGCAACCAAGCAAAGAAATAGCAGCTAGGCAACGAAACAACCAACCAACCCACTAACTGACCCACCGGCGGACCAATGCCGTCAAATACTTGGCTCACCTTGCCGACAACAGGTATAGGCTAAATTCCTATGTATACTTGCATTGCCGGGGGGCGCTCTGTCCTGCTGTGGAAGGGGATCAAGCAACCAAGCCAAGGAAGCAACCAAGCA